TATGCTACCAGCTCCATGACTGTTTTGTATGCTACCAGCTCCATGACTGTTTTATATGCTACCAGCTCCATGACTGTTTTATATGCTACCAGCTCCATGACTGTTTTGTATGCTACCAGCTCCATGACTGCTTTATATGCTACAAGCTCCATGACTGTTTTATATGCTACCAGCTCCATGACTGTTTTATATGCTACCAGCTCCATGACTGTTTTGTATGCTACCAGCTCCATGACTGTTTTATATGCTACCAGCTCCATGACTGTTTTCTATGCTACCAGCTCCATGACTGTTTTGTATGTTACCAGCTCCATGACTGTTTTATATGCTACCAGCTCCATGACTGTTTTATATGCTACCAGCTCCATGACTGTTTTATATGCTACCAGCTCCATGACTGTTTTGTATGCTACCAGCTCCGTGACTGTTTTATATGCTACCAGCTCTGTGACTGTTTTGTATGCTACCAGCTCCATGACTGTTTTGTATGCTACCAGCTCCGTGACTGTTTTATATGCTACCAGCTCCATGACTGTTTTGTATGCTACCAGCTCCATGACTGTTTTGTATGCTACCAGCTCCATGACTGTTTTATATGCTACAAGCTCCATGACTGTTTTGTATGTTACCAGCTCCATGATTGTTTTATATGCTACCAGCTCCATGACTCTTTTATATGCTACCAGCTCCATGACTGTTTTATATGCTACCAGCTCCATGACTGTTTTATATGCTACCAGCTCCATGACTGTTTTGTATGCTACAAGCTCCATGACTGTTTTGTATGTTACCAGCTCCATGACTGTTTTATATGCTACCAGCTCCATGACTGTTTTATATGCTACCAGCTCCATGACTGTTTTATATGCTACCAGCTCCATGACTCTTTTATATGCTACCAGCTCCGGGATTTGTTTTAATATATGTTAGTTCTAAGTTCCATAATCTGCTCTGGTTTTCAGAATAAATAATCAATGAAACAAGATATGTTTAGTCTAGAAAAAAAAGACAGGACAGTTTTTTCCTTAATTACTCAAGGTCACAATTTAATTAATTACGTTCCCATACTGCAAATATTAAGGCCATTAGTTAGGGTTAAATAATTTGTTCAAGTCTAAACGGTTACCGGAAATTTGATCAAAAGAAATTTCATCGCCAGTAAATTGATCTACGGTAATTTATTCGAACGGAAATTTGGTAGAATCTTTTGTTCAGTTCACACGTTAAAATTTTCTTCAAATTTCTTTTTGGAGGCACCATACTATATAGTAAAACAAAATAATGCGTTCTAAAAGAAATTTGAAGCAAAATTTTAACGTAAAAACTGAAAAAATGATTCGATGAAATTTCCGTTTGATCAAATTGCCGTCGATCAATTTACCGTCGACGAAATTTCTTTCGATCAAATTTCCGGATACGAGTCTAAATATTTATTGTGCCACTATTTATTTACTTGACATGGCTTGAATTCAGTCTCTCATATTATCTTATTTTCAGAATACAAGACAACACATCCAGACTTTCACAATCATCCCACAGTCCAGCTCCCATGTCAGGATTGTATGTCGGGGCAGGTAAGAAAATGGGCTAATATTTAGGTTGTTCACATCCGACTATATTGCGCTACATAAAAGCTCAATCTCTCAATCTGTATTTAAGACTGGCTGATCTAACCTGTTGTCCTCTAAATTATTCGCATGAAAAAATTATCTGCCATTCATTATCTTGTACAACTCAAAGAAATATTTTGTCACATCCAGTAAAGTTTCATTATGGTTTCCAGAGTATATTTTTATGCCTTTGGGCAAGGAGTCCCTTCACAGATAGGACCCCACACGCAAACATAGATTCCATAACAAAAGTATGGATTTGATTATACACCATGCCGTCCAAGCACTCCAGTTTTTTTTGTTTGTTTTTTTTTTGTTTTTTTTGTGCTGGCATCCGTCCGTCACAATGTGACGATGGAAAGGGCTTCGGAGGACGAAATCCACATGGCCTGGGATTATTCTTCAAGGATTATAAGCTGGTTCCCAATAGCAAATCGCCTCTCTCCACGCCGCTGGAGAACCCAAGGGAACATCATGTGGATGATGCAGCTTGGCACCAGTGACGTCGCAGGAGTTGTCGGAATGATTCATTGTACCAATGTTATCCGCCTTTCGGGACTCCATCTCCGGGTTTGATTTCAGAGTTGCCTTCTTTTAGATGAGTTGCCTTCTTTTAGATGAGTTGCCATCCAAGGTTAACGAGTCCCATCCACCCGGGGTGCTGGTGATGTTTTTGCTTGACTGGGCTCTGGCTGGAATTGAACTCGAGACCACCAACTTGAGATTTGCTCAGTTTAGACCAATCGGCACCCCATGCACTCCAGTTACTCTCATGAGTAATGAGTCGATAGTTAGTATCCCCACCTGAATATGAATCACTCAACAAAGTAGCATTTGAAAGAGAGGTTTGAAATGTTTTTCTTTGTGAATAAATGCATCTGCATAGAAATGTTTTGCTTCTACAGTAACTGCATAGATGTTCATTTCCTTCTACAGTAACTGCATAGATGTTCATTTCCAAAGTAACTGCCTAGATGTTCATTTCCAAAGTAACTGCATAGATGTTCATTTCCTTCTACAGTAACTGCATAGATGTTCATTTCCGTGGTAACAAAACAGTGGCAGTGAAAGATGGCGCATGCAGCCTCTTTGATACAACTAAACCTATAGAAGGACTGTCTCCAACTGCAGGACTTAAGGCATGTATTGTGTCTCTAGCAGTGTAGCAGGACTAAGACATGTATTCTGTGTCTTGGAGTGTAGCGGGACTTAAGACATGTATTCTGTGTCTTGGAGTGTAGCGGGACTTAAGACATGTATTAATGTTCACAATTATACCCAAAAATTTTCATTCACTGTAAAAAATTATCCCCAAAAAATGTTCATTTGTATTACCTTAGGTCAAAAGACGTGTTAAACTTTACAAAGATATGTTTGTATGTTATTTCCAGTACTCATTTGATACTTACACTGCCTTTTTTTTCTTTTACCAGTCTTTTCTCTCCATGTTTGTGGATGAGGGTGTCACCATGGGACTGGGACGCCGCCAGTCTGCAACAGCGGATGATAACCCCCCGTCCCCACTAGGCATCGACCCGTCTGAGATGTTCTCATCCCAGCAAAGCACAGGGTCTCCCATTCCCAGGTCCACGCAAGCCCAGACCCGACAGGACAACTTTAGGTTCCACAGTCCCATGACCCCACCATCCAACCCTCACACGCCGGCATCTCCTGGCTCTGCCAGGCTGCCAGCTGGGGTAAGTTCACTATTTACTTTATGTTGGTAACATGTCACCTAGTCGCTGCTTTGCTTCTTTGTTCTTGGCTCTTTTTTTTTTCACTTCTTATATCACCTTAACTTTAACTTCTTTTATATAAGCCCTGTGACTTTATTTTGTTTTATTATTAGTAGTGCTTCTTTCTTCAGCTCTTGAAGTTCGAGTTTTTTTCCAATTTTCTGAGTGGATTTTATAGGTAATAAAAATGTTATAGTTATTCAAAGATATAGATAGAAGCTGTTAAGTTTTCAATAGAGTTTGTCATTTTTCAGACTGGAAAATGTCAGACTTTACTATTTTTAGAACGTCGGACAAATATTTCTTAAAACTCAAACATGGCAGGTAATAGTGTGTTTCAGCATATGGTTTGAACGATCCTTGTATCTAGAGTCAATGTTACATGTGCAGTACGAGCAATGTCCCATTTCACAAAATAGCAGTAAAAAAAATTTGTAAAATATTTTGTAAAATGTAGTTGTAAACAAGCTTTTGATCTAGGTTAAGGTCCTCCTCGCCAACATAGTAGTACTGAACGGTGTTGACATTTTGTCCGACCTGAGTACCCGGGTGATTACAGCAGTTCTATCAATAGATTTCCACCATTAAATGACAAGCTCTATGGACAAAAAAAAGCCATCAATTTAGCACAGGAAAATTTATCAAGGCTTTAAATTTTGGAAACATAAATGAACATTTTTCCAATGAAAATATTCTGATAAATGGCTTTTTAATGCTTTAAAAACAATTTGTCTTAATTTAAGCTATGGTTAGCCCTTATTCTGATAATTTAAATCATACCATATGTAGCACAACAATTAACTGTGCTTTCTGTTAAAAATTCCAGTAGATTAATGCCAATGATCCTGTAAATTTGTAACCACTGGTTCCAGCACTCAAGTTCTGGTGCTACCAGATTAGATCTATTGGCTTCAGTCAATTATTGCTGCTGCTCCATGTGTTAATCTTCTTCATTTGTTACCCTCTAGGTGAATCCATCTCCATCCACTGCACTCATGGGCACGCCCTCGCCCGGGAGCCTCCTGACAGCCAACTCACCAGGGAACCCCCAGCTTCATGTGCCATCTCCTGGTTCTTTTGTACCAGCCCCCTCCCCTCAGTCCTCACTGGTTGGCATTCATATGCAGTCGCCAGCAACGTCCTTTATGAGCGGTCAGTAGTATTTTGGGAGCATGGGATGTTTCATGTTTAGCTTTAAATTGAAAAATGCCTAAAAACAATGTTTAGTCACAACTAATGCTTTCACATTTTTTAAATCTAACCTTTCTATTATAGTAAAATTGAAAAGTAGACACCTATAATTTGCATTTTTTAAACCATCTGCATAATTTTCTTTAAGATTTGTTTTATAATTTAGTTGCGTCAAAACAAAAATCGGTTTCCTTAATATAAATAAAACTAATATTATCGGCTTCCTAAAGTTTTCTCTTAAATATTTATACATGTCAATTTTTGCCGATCAGTTTCTTTTAAATAAATAAATATTTCATAGCATATTTTTTAATGAGTCTATGAGCCAAGTTTCAGCTCGATCGGATAACGCCAAGTGGGCCAATTAGCCATCTGAAGGTCTTTCCAGCCAGCCAGCCACCAACAAAAGTGAAGTTAATATAAACGATTTTAAAAACCTTTAAATGTGACTGAAGTATAATTTTGCTTCCTAATTTTTCTATCTTTTTTATGACTATATTTCAGGTATTGTTGATGGAGGCTCCCCATTCCCGGGGGCAAGTTTGGCCATGCCATCCCCAGGCGGCGTAAGGGGTGGGTGGGTGGGATCACCATCTGTACAAGACCCGTCACCCGTATCCCATCATACTGTCCACTCACCTGGTCACCCAGCTCTTCACTCACCACAGACACACAAAGATGGGGACCACAAGCTTGGGGGTGAGTGCAATCATTGTGTATTCATTATTATTACAAAAATAAAGTTACAAGGCTCTTCAGTTTGAAACAGTGGGGTGTATTAAACTATTTGTCACTTATTTCTAAATGATACTCACCTTTCTTCAAGAAATTGCACAAATAAGAAAAAAAAGTATTAAAATTAAAATTATTTGCATTGCCCTTCATTTGAAATGATTTATGAATGAAGGGAGAAACATATTTGATATACAGTGCTCTTTAATTATTTGAAACTGTATAAGATACTCTTAATTCTATATAAATAAATTTACATCAGAGTAGCTCAAATTTTTACAATACACTTAGACCAAGATACATTTCATAAGTGCTTCAAAGTGTCATGCATAAACTGTCTATTGATCTAATCACAGGTCATTTTGATCAATTTCATTTGAGTTGACCGGCACTTTTTCTCCCCAGTTGTCAACATGCAGGCTCGTATCCTGCCACAGAGAGCATGGGCTGCAGCTATCCCAACCATCCTGTCTCACAAAGGTTTTGACACTCTACTCACCCCAACCCCTGAGTCACAGCAAGGTTCTGTCCAGCACACCCCGGCATCACCCTTGGAGAGGTTTTTTGCTTGCACCATCATGAAGAAACACACCAGTAGATTGGTGAACACAGAGCAGTCGGTAGGTCAACACTATGAAAGTTCTAAACAATGTTAGCACCACACATAGCTGGCACAACACATTCAGGGTACATTGATGTAGATTTGAAAGATATGGTCTGGCAAGAAGATATTTTTGAAAATAATTTCTTCATCTTTGGGCATTTAAAAATGAAGATTTTTTTTTTTCTAAGCTATCAAAGCAAATTGTGTATTTTTCTCTTTGGGCAGTTATATTTTGAATGCCATGGTCAATTAAAGATAAAAAATGTTTCATGAAACTATGCTTATATAACTGGAGCAGTCAGAAGTGAACCCAATGTAAATTGCAGTGCTGGTAATATTGATTTCAATGTCTTTAAAAAATTTAAAGCACACAAAATGCTTCTCTTTTACTAAGCTTTAAATTTTCTTCATTTCAAATAATTAACCCTTTCAGTTGCTTTAAGGCTTTCCAGCCCTTACTCCTTAGTCTCATTACAGTCAAATTTCCCCCGTAACAACACGTCATTTTCAACATACTTTAGTGAAGGTAACTCTTCTTAACAAAGAGCCTAGTTATAAACAGGAAGTGTCAAGCTCTTCTTTTGTCGCAGTTTGGTGGCTGTGCGCTTGATTTTACACTTCTTTTGATTTTTAAAAAAATGTGCTGTGTTGACAGTAGATGTAAGCTTAATTGCAATAGCCCTTTTAGATCCCTTTAAAAGAAGATGAAGATTAAATTGATAGATATGACGGGTCTATACAATTGTGTTGTTTAAGAAAAATTAGGTGTTACTGGTCCTAATGTAGACTTATTTTAAATAAAATTTCATCTTTTCTATACAATTATCTGTATTTTTTTTTTATGGTTGGATTCAAGATTGATTTGTAATAAATTTTTTAATTCAGCAACTTCTGATAAAAATGTAGTTATTTCCCTTTGCCAGATAATTTCTTAACTGGCGCTATGATACTGAGATGGTTCATTTAATCTTTATTTAAACATCTTTTTATAACCAAAATATCTGAAATATTTTAAAATGTAAATGGATGTTTTAGGAGGTAAAGTCGTGTAGTGTCAGCCCACAGTGGCAAGTGTCATGGCATATGTTATTTTGTTGTAACACCCATATGAACTCAACAGATGCAGATGATACCCAGCAATGAGCCTGGTGTCATATGTTTTAAAGTGGACACTCTGCAGTACAAATTATCTCTCAACAGTACAACCTGCCAGTCTTTACACATGAAAATTACTCCTACACCAGGTGAACTTTTAAAAAAAACATATTTCAATCCAAATAGATTGCTCGATGATTAAGATTGTGTCCTGAAAAAAAGATTTTAAAATTCCTCTCTTGATGTGGACAAATATTAAAATCTATTTTTTTTTTTTATGTTTGTCCATGTTTAATTTTTTATAAAACCAAGAAATACAATTTTGCTGAATAACTTTTGAATTAAATTGAATGCATACCTAATGAACTTTTTATAATGTTGATTTTAATCTTAGGTCTTGTTTTTTAAAGTAATGGCAACTGAATTTAGAAGCGAAACTAAACTTGATTCCATTGTTACACCTTAATTTTTTTTCAATAGCCTTTGCATGATTCTTGGAATTATTTCAAACTATTATTACCTTCTGTCACGATCTCCATTAATTAATAAAACTATTTGCTTATTTTAAAAAAATATCTTTTAAACATTAGCAATATTTTACCTTGACTGTATCGACCTTCCATGTAGCAATGAGAGCGCTGCTCTGTGTTTGATAGTTAGCATCGTGACTCACAGTAGCATTACAAATACTTAATTCAACACTATAAACTTTCCTGTTAATGGCAGAACACCAAGATAAATGGACCACTGAAGAGCTCCAGGTGCTGGAAAAGTTTTTTGATCTGAAAGTTTTCTGTCCCCCGTATCGTCTGAACGCCCTGACAGCTGTAGGAAGGATAATCTCTGCCCCATACAGGATTCTCAAGGACTGCATACAGATCATGAAATTAGAACTGGTAGGAAACAAAGCTCAGACTTATGAAATAGATTGGCAAAATACTGGCCTGAAGAAAAATATTTGTAGTCATAAAGTTGACTTATGAAACCAAATAATATTATGACATCATGGGTCACAAAAGACAGAGAATTTTCCTAACGTGTTTAATTTTTACAACTGCTTTTCAGCTTGCTGGAATAATTTAAAATAATTGAAGGAATTAATGCAGATACTTTTAATGTTCAAGATAATTAATGTTGCGTATCAGCAAGAATAGAAACCCCAGGGCACGGTCCAACCCTCAAAAATTTTGAAATTTTGCTACTGCTAGGTACTGACAAATGTTTAGGATAAAAACATTGCACGAGACTTTGACCATTATGATTCACTTATTATTCCACGTCTTCATATAATTACAATCATGCATCTTAAGTAGTGCCTCACCTGATTTAAATTTTATAAAAACTCCAAATTTTAAGCTATAAATAATTATATTGTTACATCAGACAGTATAAACAATGCTGCTGGGTAGCCGTCCATGGCTTGAAATGTAAATGGTTCTTGAATGTGTGTAGTGAATATACATTTGTTTAGTTTTATTTTGTTAATGTATGTTTATTTTTAAGTTCATGATTATGTTTGTTAAATTGTGTGTACAGCGTGGTGAGCCCAGCCCAAGACTGGGGTACCGCGCTATATAAAACTACTAATAATAATAAAATAATAATAATATGGCTTTGGAAATAAAGGCGATCTTAAAGCTTTAATAAAAAGTGTTTTAAAAATTGGACTTGTCTCTCTAGAACTTTTGCACTAAGGCCACTTTTTTTCTCATTTCATGGACGTAAAACAATTTTCTCTCTAGAACATTTACACTAAGGCCATTTCCCATTCTCAAAAAGACTGTCCGACCCCTTAAACTTGTTCATTGTGATGAGCTGTTCTTTGTTGTGATGTCAATGAAAACATTTTCCAACATTACATTTGACTGTGTAAGTGTTACTATCTAATCTCTCCTCTAGATGCCTGACCG